ACCACTGTTCTAGAGTTATGATGGTCAATTAAACATAAAAAGTTATTGCAGAACTATTAAAGTCTCTAAAACTTACTGCAAGCCTAAGTCATCATTACCATTGGAAGCTGACATAAACAAATAAGGGACGGCAGAGAAGTTGTGAAGTACTGTTACTCCACGCATTTGTCCCACACAGACTTTGGTAACCTGTCACACATTATGCCCAATGAAACTGGGCCTCCTCACCTTTGACATTCCTCAACCTACCACCATAAGCCTGAAGGTAGAAATTTTTTTGCTAACCCTGCAAAGCTGTGTATTATTAAAGTAGTCTGTGGTTATAAAATGTTGCTTAGCATTCATATTCAGGACCAGTAGATGACCAGTTTTTGCTTAGCACTTACACACCTCTGGCTTTCATTTAAACTTGAGGAAATCAGGTGAGATCCCTATGGCAGCATGCATTTTCTTTATAAGTCCCAAAAGTTTTGGCTACTATCTGCTCCCCTCATAGTGTTCCCCATCACATTCACCGTCTTCATCTGGAAATCGTCCACCTTTTGCCTTTCAAAGGGTGTGTAAGTCAGTGCTCACTAGCTGTATGTGTGTAAAGGTGTGCTTACAGTGGCTGCCTGTGCATTCCGGTGTGGAAGAATGCAAAAGGGCTGTCTGGATGCTAGAGACCCAAAGGATCCAATCACAAGTCAAGGCTCTGGAGCTCACTATGGAGCCACATGTGAGTCTGTATCTGGAACCCAAAGGCACTGTGCTGGGAGGCTTGAAGAGTCTGTGCAGTAGCACTAAAGAGTCTGCACTGGAAACCAGGAGACAGATGTCCAAGGCAGTGGCGAAGACTGGGGCTCCTCCAAAGAAACAGAAGCAAGACTTTCTCCTTCTTTCCCTTTTTATTCCATTTGGCATCCAAGCCTATTGCTTGGTGCCTCCCAGGGTGGGTCTTTCTTCTTCAGGACATCCATCATTTGTTCACACAATCAGAACTATTCTGGGCATTTCTTACTCAAGTTGACACACAGTTAGCTGTCACAGTGGGTGTCAGGCCAACCTAGAATGTGCACCTATTTTTGTTTGAAACAGCGGTGAGAAAAAGCAGCTCTACTAAGGCCATTTTCACTAGAACACATTCTTTCCTCATTAACTTCAGTTCATGAGGGAATTCCATGGAACATGAGGTGTAGATCCCCCAATATCTGCCCTGAAAATACAGATCTCAGGAGATGGATTGCTTTTCAGCTGAAAACTCTAGTGATCACAACAGGATCCATGCTTATCCAAGTGAAGATCATGTGTAGGATTATTTGCCTACAGTTTATGAGGGAAGCTTCTAAATTTGGCAGTACTTGATGTAGACCCTCCAGCAGAGTGGTCCATGTGGAATTAGAGATGTATCAGCCAGGTACGGAGGGCCCTTTCAGCACAGGGTGTGGTGCACAAGAATATCTGTGTGTGGATTTTAAATCAAGCCTCAACATGACATTCTGAATTGTGTGAAGCAGAACTCGAGCAGTTCAATTACCAGAACAGAAAGCAGGCACTTGGTGTTTTATGGACCTTGCTAATGAATGAGTCCCATGGCCTCTGCTGGACCAGCTTCCCAGCACTCTGCCAGCCTGCTTCCCACACATCTGCAAATCCATCAAGCTGTAGTGCATGGCTAATGCCAACAGAGCCTGCAGTCTAGGCCTTTCTCCCTGGGACACATAGAGATCTGAAGTCATTAATAATTCATTCTAAAGTAATGAGCAGAGCTGTACTAAGTTGTAAGATGTAATAATCAGGTGACAGATCAATTTATTGCTTCACTGTGCCAAAAGATGAGAGCTAGTGATAAAAAGGTGGAAGTTTTCTCCCCAAAAGTTTTCTACGACTTAGGTCAGTGTATTTTTTTAAGTTCCGAGATAAAATGGATCATTAATAGGAAAATGAATTAATAAAGAATGTCGAATAGCCTCTAACCTATTTATATGCAGAGTTGCTGATCCAGAATTACTATACCTTTTTTTCCAAGTGTCTTTGGGCACTGGGCCTTGCAAGTCAGAGTAATTATTACTCATTAATTAAATCTTAAGTAGTGGAACATTGGGCCAGGAAGATAGCTCAATGGCATAAGTGCCTGCCTGGCATGTTCAGGACCTGAGTTCAGTCCCTGGTACCAGAAGAAAGAAAAAGGGTGGGGGGTGGAGCATAGCTTGAGACTTTAGAAAGGGCGTTGGGGATAGTTCAAATGGACTTCCCCCAAATCATCAATAATAGTTTGAGGTTTATGAGTAAGTAATTGGGCTGAGAATAATAGTCCACATCTACTGAGATGCTACACTCATTCCTTACTGCCTCACTGAAAATTCTCCCATGTCAAGTACTGTGCTCAGCACTAGTTCAAATAAAATACCACAGTGCTTGTTCTGCCTTTGACTGAGCCTGGCAAATCAACAGTTTGTCAAACAAAGAAGAGTTAGAATATACTAGAGAGGAAATGATAGTGGACAAAGGCAGAGAAGTGTGAAAGAACAGAGGATGGAGAGTGAATTACGCATAACTTCATTTCCTGTGCATTATCACATTTAATCTGTACATAAACATCTTGAAATAGGTACATCATTCACCCCAGCCTTCCCTTTTATAAAGTGGAGGAACCTAAAACTTAGGGTTTTAACGTAATGAGCTACTTCCCCTGGGACCCTAAGCTGGGGAGTCAGCCGAGGAAGGCTTAGAGATGAGTCCCGGGAAAGTGAGCTTTTTCTGAGTTTCCCCTTTGGGTGTAGCCCAGTAGTACAGAGCTTCCCTAACATATATGAAACCCTGGATTTAATCCTTACCATTTCAAAAATTAAAGGAGTGGGCACTATAGGTTTATTATTACAATTATCACATCAATTAAACAGCAGCATTGGTGCTAAACACTTAATGTAAGTTGGGCCATTGTATTCACTAATAGCAACCAGGAAAGGTATGAGACTTGTTTTCAGCAGAGGAGTGTCCTGGGCTGAGCTGGATTTCAGACTGTAACTTATGTTGGCAGGAAGGATAACGCTAAAACCTAGAGGTTCTAAAATCGACACCCTGGTTCTTAGCCTTTTGTTTATATCGATGAGGTATGGAAAAACAGGATAGTAAAAATGATCATCATCCAAACCATGTATTTTTGTACTAGCGTACAATGTAACAGTGATTTCTCACAGAAATAGCCTGTTGATTCATCTGCACAAGGGAGTTTTGTGAAGGGAAGATAAGTCTAATGACCTAGCTGGTCTGGGAAGGAAGTAGGATGGAGAATTCCCTTCCCACACTTAGTAGCTGGGGTGGAAAGTAATGATGTTCTAGGCAGCTTGTAAATACACATACTTGATGATTGACTGAGGCGCATGACCAAAGCCTCACCTTGCCGGGTAGGAACATGACCATCTATCTGCATTACTCTTATACATTGATGAAGCCGTGTCATTCTGGGAAGGATGGAAAGCTACAGTAGACCCGAAGACTCAGCTAGAACTAAGAATATGTGTTTAAAATGTTTTTATGTGGACCAGAGGCAGAGCAGGACACTGATAGCAACTATCCCTGCTGCAGGTGTGGCTTAGCAGCCAAAGAGCAAATTCTCTTCCTGACAGGGCTGCACCATCATTACAATTCCATGGACCTAACTGCACGCAACCCCTCTCAGAGGGGGAAGTTCAGTTAGATTCTTAGCTTCAAAAATTATAGAAAAGCACACATGCTGATAAACTTGGCTAATGTAGTATTTCAATAATGACTCAGTTTAAAAGCTGGCTCTCAAGGTATAAAATCTCTTTTCCTCCTACAAAATAGAGGTATATGAGAGAAACAGTGCAGGCATTTATAGAACTGTGAGGAAAAGTGCTCAGTATAAATAGCACTAAATGGTAGGGAGGTAGATCTGTGCAAACCGTCATCTTTGCTAAATTTCCCTCTTGGTTCAACTTAATAATGAATAGCTTTCTTCTTCTAACAGGTGACTTAGGGAAGCTCCCGATATTTTCTTAGCAATAATAAGTGGCATGAGTTTTTCACTCACTTCTCATCAGTTATTTACATGTGTATTTTTATATACCAGGCCAGCAAATGAACAATTTGGTTTTAAAGCTAGGTCCTAGAGGGGCCTGTGCTCAGAGTTTAAGATACATGATTTGGGTAATTGTTTATCTAAAAACATGTATATGTATCTAATAAATTACTCAGACCCACACACCATAGGTCCTGTGCATGTCTTAAATTTTGAGTATAAATGACAGTATAAACACAGACTTATACATGGGTATACAGTAGTGCTTTTTATTTATTTATCCCATTCTCACATAATGGGAGCCACATGTTTAATAGGGCTTTAATCTTTCAAGTCTAAAGTGCTGAATTTACCAGATCTGCCCATTTTAAAAGTTAGGTTTATTTTTTGCTATGTTTGTAAATGAATTAAAGCCATCGAGAGTTTTTGTATTTGCACTAGAGAAAATGTTAATGATCAAATTGCCATTAGCATTTCAGCAGTAGCCCAGTACAGAAGTTGTAACTAAGAGGGATTAACAGTTACTGGGGGGCCAGGGAGATGGCTCAGTGGAATAAGCGCTTCCCTGGCAAGTGCAAGGGCCTGAGTTCAATCCCCAGTTCCAAAAAAAAAAAAAAAAAAAAAAAAAAGTTACTGGGACTTGCGGGATAGCAATTCAGATGTGTAGATTCCTAACTTGGCAGGTAGCTGTTTGGGCCAAGTTTTTGGTTTTTTTAGGCCAACTGGAAGTTGTAAGAAGTATCATATCCTGAAATAGCAAAGTAGCTCAAATGCTGAATAAAAATTTATAAACTTTAGTAGGTGAAAATATAGGTAGAAAAATTTCTAATAATTCATACTCCAAAGATGCCCCATGTTCTGCCTTCCACAGATGAAAAATCTATAGATATGAAGATAGTAACATAGGAAAAGTATGGGAAGGCCAGCTGTCCCCGATGTCCTGTCTCAGTTTTTGCTTTTTTCTCTTACTTGTTCCCAGTGTTGCTAACAACCATAAGCAGAATTTGATGACGGTGGCGAACCTTGGGGTGGTGTTTGGACCCACATTACTGAGACCTCAGGAAGAAACAGTAGCAGCCATCATGGACATCAAGTTTCAGAACATTGTCATCGAGATCCTGATAGAGAACCATGAAAAGGTAATATATACTTGGTCCCTGGCAAGGAAGAGTGTACTTTGGAGGAAGCTACATCGAATTGGCCTTCATTGACACAGGTTTACATTGCTAATGTTTCTTTCACTGTGACGAGGATGAACTTGCTGATTCTGCTAACACAGTGGTAATGATAATCATAAGAGTGCTGGTAGGGGTGGGACCAGTGGCATGTATGGCAACAGCCATGGTGGCTGTGGTTGTGCCAGGAACAGCGCTTAATGCTGTATGTAGCTTGTCATTTTATCCTCACAATAATCCAGTAAAGGAACTCCTAAGATGAGGCTCATTTTTAAAACGTCCTTTACCCATTTTTTAACTTGGTTTTCTTCTTACAAATTTATGAGGCTTATTTATTTATTTGTATTTAGTACAGGGTCTACAAGGTCTCACTGCACAGACCGTACTCGTATTGATCTTCCTGTATGAGGCTTTTAATGTTATGAATATTAACTTTTTTTCATTTGTGTTTCAAGCAGTTTTCCCATACAGTTTGTCTATAGATTCAATTAATGACGTGGCTTTTGCTCATTTTGTGTGCATCTGTGTATGTGGTGGATGCAATCTTATTGCAGGACACCGGGGCTTCTGGCCACTGAGTTGCCTCAGAAGTGTGCTTACAGTACTGAGAGTGGGGGGCAGAGGCTTCCTTCATCTGTTCTACCTCAGTTCCTAGCAGCAGATCCCTCTGGCACTTCCTCCTCTAGGCTTCTGAAGGGCTGTCTAGGCTGTTATTTGGCAGCCATAACTCTGAAATCTCATAAAAAATATTCCTTTCCCTAAGTAAAAATTTTGCCTAGAATAGTGAGTTAATCGTAGAGGATAAATCTACTATCTGACTACAGTGGTCCCTTGGTACTTAACATTAATTGGTTCCCAGAGACACACATACCAAAAAGGAGTACCAAACTAGTGGTTTTGGCTAGAAAGGATGATCATAAGTCAATGGACACTGACAAGGTCTAACTTGCACTTTAAATGTCAAACAAAGGACGAATACTGGGAGAGAAATTTTGCATCAAATTCTTCCAGTACTGAATTTGGTGAGTTTCAAAGCAGTTGAGTGCTGTACCAAGATATGAATGTGTTTACCTGCACTAATAGTACAAACCACCATTGTTTTTGTCTAAATTTTTTTAAGAGCTTCCTAATTTGCCTCGACTTCAGACTGTCTATTCTGATAACTATTGTAATGTGCTAAATCAGACCATTTCGGTGGCTTTCCACTATGTTCAGCATGGAGCCTGAAAGGTCCACTCTAGCCTCTGTCCCCCCACTGTTTATTTAGCTCATCTGACCTCCTGCGTCTTCCCTACAGCTGAACTGACTGCTTGTTGCCCCTTGGACATGGGAAGCGCACACGTGCCTCACAGGAGGTGCGTGGGTTTGCTGCTCCCTTCACCTGGAGTGCCTGGAGCGCTCATCCTCCATGAAACCATGTGACACATTCCCCCACTTCCTTGAAGTGTCTGAGTGAGGCTTTCTGAGAACTCTGTGTCTAAAACCACAAACAGTGCTAGCCTCCAGCATTCCCTTTCCTCTTCCCTCTGCTTTTCTGTTGCTGTCACATTTACCACTTTCTAGCATATTATGTAACAGACTTATTTTAGATACATTGCCTTTCTCCTCTCCATGAAGGCAAGAACTTTCATTTGCTTTGTTGATTGTGTGGTTCCTAGTTCCGATTCTCTTAGGCCAGGCGTTGGGTGAGTGTGACAGCTAAGCTTCAGAATGACTGCAGTCGCTGAAGAGAGCTGGCCAGTGTGATCCGTAGAACACTGCAAAGGTAGTGATGCGTGATTCCTAAGATTAGTCACAAGAGGCCCTGCAAATTTTGTCTTGATTTCTGTATGTCTGTCTTCTGGGGGATGTAAGCCCCTGTATCGTGAGGGCAGTCATGATAGACCTGCAGGGAGGAACTGAAGCATCCTGCCAACAGCCAGACAAGCTTGCCAGCCCCATACCCCAGTCGCCTTGTAAGTGATGCCTTAGCCCTGACGGTATTTGCAGATAGTGCAGCTCCAGCCAGTATTTGAGTGCAGCCTCATGAAAGAAACTTGAGTCATAACTGTGCTGCTAACCCCCTTCTGGAGTCCCCAACCCACGGATATGGGGAGTGATGAATTGTTGTTTTAAGCTAGGAGGTTTCAGCACTAATTTGTCATGAAGTATTATATGACTTAGAATCTGTGAATGTACACATTTACACCTTAACAACATCTCCTACAAAGGTAATTAAGCAACCTAGTCCTTTTCTTAACGTGTTAATAAGAGATACATGAAATTAATACTTTATCAGAGAAAAAATGCCTTCTTTCTATCCTTAATTTTGGGGTCCCATCTTCCTGTCTCCTTCAAATATAGGAAATCAGGTAGAGGGGTTGTTTGTGCTATATACAATAAAAACACACTTGTGGAAAGGGAACTGTATATACTAATAACTGATAACCTGGTTTCTAAGACAAATCACTTGGGTTTAAGTCCACTACTTCTTGCTAGCTATGTGACCATGAGCATCTAGATCATTGAACTTTTCATTACTCAGGAGAGAGTGTTCAGTAGAGCCTGACTTAGCTTCACATTGAGTGAAGTGGCAAGCCACCAGCAGTTTCATGGCGTAGAAACAGACAACAAACAATCCCAAAGTATCAGGGATGCAGGACAGTAGAAGCTTATCTTTTACCCACATAACAGCTCCATACAAGTATTCTCAAGTGGCATCCTCTGGAGTAGTTCAGCAACCCAAATCCCTGCCACTTTATAGCTTCCACGTGAATAAAAGTGGCCTCTTCCAATTCTCCACATGGGTAGAAGTGGTAAGATTTTTGTGGCCTATTCCAAGACGATGCTCCTTTTATTTTTCTCCTGCATCTGATTGCCCCAAACAGGTCACATGGCCACATCTAAATGGAGAGGAGGCTAAGAAAAGCAACTTAACTGTATGCTCACAAGAAAAGGAAACAAGTTTAAAGATCAACACACTGGTCTGCCACATTCCTTCTGTTGGTTTTTGTGAGATCAAATGCAGAGATTTCTATAAAATACTTAGCCAGGATTCTTGGATTATAGTAAGCTTCAGTAATTACAAACCACTTTTTTCTTTAGCAGTCTCAGCAAAATTCTTTGGAAATAATATTATCTTCAGATATCAAGTATCCCACTTTCCCAAGTAGTACTTTTTATAACTTAATCATATCCTAACTAAAATCATTTAATATGTTGAGACCAAGCACGAAGGAATGACTTTGGTTGTTTCATGCCCTTACAGGCAGCATTCAAGTTTGTTCATAGCAAGCAGCATCTAAAGGTTTTTGACTATCCTTGGGCCCACAGAACTAGCTTGACAGTTGCTCCTAGTAATCTATCTATCTATCTATCTATCTATCTATCTATCTATCTATCTACATATCTATCTATAGATAGACCTGTGTCCCTTCCAGCATCAACTCAAGTGACTTGACAGGGATTAAAAGGTCCAACCTTGCCTCACACCATAGGCCTATAGATAGATATGTATATAGATAGATAGATAGATAGACAGACAGACAGACAGACAGACAGACAGATTGATTGATTTTTTTTCCCCCTCAAAACCGGGGATTGAACTCAGGCCCTTGCGCTTGCCAGGCAAGCACTTATTCTACTGAGCCATCTCCCCAGCCCCACTCCTAGTAATTTTATTGAACCTTCTACAAACAAATAGCCATCCTATCTTAAATACAACATATAGAAGCAGAAGTATGAAATTCATGGCAGAGCCTATAAATACATGAGCAAGTGGCTGATGACAGGGGTTACCTAGTTTGGTGCATTATGAATTATATTACTCTTGGATTTTGAGTTTATGTTGTGCAAATAAAAGAGTATTATGGTGTTTCATTATATATTCTTTTTTATTAGTCTATACTAGAGGATGGGATGAATCACAGAAGGATTTATGGTCCTGTAGAAGCCAGGGATGAGTATGAATGAAAACATTCCAGGAATAAACTTTGTCTCCTCCCTGAGGGAATTAGAGTGACACTAAGGCAAGGCTTTTTAATACAGGGTTTATGGTAGGCCACTGTTATATTCAAGAACTATATATGTGTGTTATTTTAGGGGGAAAATCCTTAATACCATCAGTTCTGTCTTTTAAGTAAAAACAACTTGCATTAGACAGCTCAACTCCTTTTTAAATGTAGCTTTGGGCATAGCCTGGTACAGAATGGAGACATGTTGTCTTAGTCTCTAGTGGAAGGCTCTGATGTTTGCCCCACAAGAATACTAAGCATCCTTGGCCATGCTGGCTTCCTGGACACAACACTCTGGATAAACTCCTTGATAGCAGAACTCAACTGTAGCCACCAAATCCAGAGCATGTTTATGTCCTTAGAAAATATTATTAGAGACTTATTCCTCAAAATCCACATTAATATTTAATACTGTTCCTTTAGGCTTAGCTGTAATATTCTAGAAACATACAAACGTCTAGAAATAGCTACTTATCTGAGTAAATTTTAGTGTCAGAATTTGAACAAAATGCTGACCCCACACTTGAAGAAATGCTTTCCAGCAGCACCTTTTTATCTGATAGCATTTGCCCTCTTGGCTTGAAAAAAGCCCTAACATGGAGTTTAAATATATGACCCCCCCCCTTGGCTAGCATATTACCCTCTCATGCTGTTCAGAACATTTCATATAATGTAGTAACTTTATGCCTTGGAATAGCACTCAAGCAAGAGCTAGGAATAAATAGAAAATAGTTCTGAAAGGAGGGTGTGGAAACCCAGGCGTCTAGCCATTGGAACCATCTCTTAGACAGAAAATCACAAGATGCCTGTTCTAGTTTTCTATTATTGCATAGCAAATGATTTCTAAACATAGTGATTTAAAGAAGCAACATTTTTATTGCTCTCAATTCTCTGGGTCAGAAACTTGGGGAAGGCTCACCTGTGTCCCTTCCAGCATCAACTCAAGTGACTTGACAGGGATTAAAAGGTCCA